AATAGTGCAACTAAAATGCTCATAAATTAAATTAGATTAAATTTATCAATATATATAAACATAAAATCCAACCCAATAATTCAGTTTGGTTTGGCTATTTGGTCATTTCCATTCGAAATTTTGATTTGATTGGATTTTTTAACCCAAGCCAAATGCCTTCAACCTTCTAGAACTGTCACTTGGCAGTTTCTGCCTTTTTCTTTTATCTTTTCAATGTGGACAGTTTATCTCTGCCTCTTTTCCTTTGCAATCTTGTCCCTTGTCAACTGTAAGGGGCGAAAACAACAACTTAACAAGCTCCATTTGCACGCACTACATAAAGAAGGGACTAGCTTTTCATGAGGACCGTTTCTTTTTTCTTTTTTCTTTTTTCCAGACAGAGGGACAGAGAAAAAAAGGTAAAGGGATCAACTGTGATATGCAGCAACTCAGAAAACGCCATTCACTAATGGCGGGGTTCTGGCGTTTTCTCTAGACATGCGGGTAAAGGACGGAACTTCGAGTAATGTATGTTTTTGTAGATAATATTAAAATGGTTCCAGCATTAATATCATTCAATTTCTACTCTCTTTATATATATAAAGATCATAACCTCATTTTTGTTATACTAGTAAGGGCTCTTTTGTACGACCCTTAGTAATATTTTTTTTTCTAAATTTTTTCAATGGCTTTCTTATCCATTTCTATTTTTATTATTTTATATTTTAATATTTTTTAAATAAAGTTATTAGACCTAACTGGGTCATATATTTGTCAATTTAACTCGAATAAATTCAAAATATTATTGTTTTAATATTTTAAAAATAATATTAAAATATTGTTGTGATGATATATTTTTAAAAGTACATGATTAGACAATGCTTTGATTCATTTAGTTAATTGGGACACCTAACAATAGTATTAAACCCATGCTAGGAATTGACTCAATCCAATGAGTCTTTAGTTTTAATTGAAATTCATTAAAACATAAATAGTGATTTCACTTTTTTTTTTTGTGTGATTGAAATTAACTTTTGATCCGATTTAAAATAAAAAGTAATTAAGTTAACTAATGCAGATAAGAATGAAGTACAACAAGATTTGTTATAAATAAAAACTTTCAAAAACTAACAATAAAATAACTATAGGAAGACTCCTTAAATATTTAATTTTATCCATTCATGTCTCACTTGTCAAAATTTTATAATTTTTTATATAGAAAAAAAAACTAGAAAATCTTATTAATATTGAATATGAAAACTAAATTAGAAATCTATTCTCTTTGAATAAATGAAAAAAAAAATAGTTAGAAAACATAATAATAACAATAGATTTTTTTTAAATATCTATTTTTTAAAAATTTATGCATCATTTTCTCATGTCGCAAGGAAGTTATCCTCTGAGTTCAAACTTTAGTAAAAAACCATACTCCACCACAAACATCCTTTCATGTCTTATTCTAAAAGGGTTTTTAATATCTTTGTGTGAGTCATTTCATTATGGGTCCTATCATTAGATTTTCAATAATAGTAACTGACATAAACAAAAAAAACACACTAGTTTCTGTATATCTTTTTTCTAAAAAGGAACCTCCTCCTCCTTATCTGCTATACGTGCATGTCTTATTGTATGACCTTTTACATTTATAGTTATTCAACAACACAAAACAATTATCCATAAATATTTACTAGGCTTTAATATCACTGGACGTGGAGCTATGATACTAGCTAATGTAGAAGAATATAACACAAGAAAGACAACAAATACAAGCAATACAAGATTTTACTGCAAAAATTCTAATTCAAATATTTATTATTCAATAACTCTTTAATTAGTTTTATTTTTTAAGAGGCTTAAAACTCAAATAAACCCAAAAATCTAATCTAACCAAACTAGGATACCATAAAAAAATAAAAGAAAAGCAAAAAAAGTCATAAACAAATAAGAAGGAATAAAGTTATTATGCAAAATATTTAATTTCATAAACTAAATAAGAAAAATAAAAATAAATAAGGATAAATAATTTTCTTTAAAATCTTTTGCAACATGTGGATTAATATTAACCCTTTTTCTTATTTCTCGATTTTTTCTACTCCAGTATCTTTTTTTTGTTATTTCATCAATTTTTTTAGAATAGAAAATACATTAGCAATACTAATATTTTTAGGTACATAATTTTTTTTATTCGATCCACAACGTGGTGTTAACAACTAACTAGTACAAGTTAAAATGCAAACTTAGCTCTAATAGGTCAATGCTTTCGGAGTTTGAAAGTAAAAGGGATCAAAAGTTAGGATTTTGATGTTCATATTTGTATATTATATATATGTTTTGATGAAGTTGTGGAGAATTTTCACAAAAAAATATTGATTTTTCTTGGTTGGTAAGTTATGGGCCTAAGTTGTACCTATAAAACAAGTTTCTCATAGATAAGGGACACTCTAATTTTTAAGTTAGTATTTAAATTTTTTCTCTAGTAATAACTAGGTAAAAATTTAAGAAGATAAAAATATTATTTTTTATATGTAGAGAAGAGATGTGTACTCTATGTCTTGTTAAAAGTGTTTTATATGCAATATTATTTAGATGACTCATCTTTCTTTTCTCTCAAAACCTGATGATATATATAGCATTGGAAAATATCTAGGGAAATATAAGTGAAAAGTATTATTCATGAATAGTATCATTCATATTACTATTCATGAATTGTAATGAAAAATAAACCAAGATGAGCTAAAGTACTTGGTCAAATCGAACCCTTGAACCCTTGAGCTCAGATAAGTCTTGACCAAAGGAAAACTGAGTCTTTTTTTTGTATTATCATTAACCCCTTAAAGTCTTGTAAACATACATGTTTGGAAGATTTTAATCACCTAGAGAGGAAGAAAAAATAATTATAGTGAATTTTTGCTTAAAAACATTACTTGTATAGGCATGTCTTTGGATTTTTTTTTTCTGAATTAGTGAGAGGTTTTGTCAATTTTTTAATGAGAAAATCTATGATCTTTTCAGAGACAATAACCACAAGGACTTGGGCACAGTTGGTGGTAATAGGGGCTTAAAGATAACGACCACAAGGCTTTATGACATTAGTCGCTAGGACCTAGAGACAAGTAGTGATTGAGACCTGAAGAAAAAGGATTGAGGGACCAATTGATATAATAAAGATTAATCAATACTTCTCCATGAAAGTTTTATAAAGATCTTATATGTTTGAAGATATGGAAATGCACTATTTTTTATTTATTTTTTCAATTTAAAAGATGATGAAGATATAAATTTTTATGTTTATCTTATCTGAGGTAATACATCATTAAAATTATTTTTAGTTTACTCATATTTTATCTTCCCCTTCACAAATTCTTGGAGGTACCTTTTAAAGATTAATTTTTTTTTATCTCTTTTGTGAGTGCATGACACATTTTTTTAAGTCATGTTCATAATCAATGTGAAAGTGCAAAACTTATTAGGGTTTCTTGTGTTTAACCCATTCATTGGAGGTTGGTATTGTAGGAAATCTTTTTCCTTCATAGCAGCCAACATATTAATATATATTGCCATAAGAGGTGTGGTCATGAGTTTATGGATTGTTAGGTGATCAAGGATGTGCCCTTATATACTTCTTTTGGATGTTTGTGTTGGAGATTAATGTCGTGGTGAAGACTTTTCTTATACATGGAAGTGCGGGTGACTTTTTATGGTCATGCTAGTTTTTTCCACCCCAATGTAATCTTCCATCTCATGTTTGATGCTAAAGATATTTTTGTTAAAGAGTGTATAACATTTCCTATAAATAATAGTTATAGAATCAATTGATCATGACTTTAATGATGATGGTTTCATGCAGATCATTCATGCTTGTCACATCTTAATTGAATCTTCAAAGACATGCCTTTGTGTTTTTATCATCTCATTGTGTGATGATAATGAGATTTATAACACTATTTTTAGCACAAATATTTGTGCTAAAATAAAAGATGAGCTTTATGTGTATCATTAGTTTCAAGATGCTTCTAGCATTTTATACATGTTCTTTAAAATTTATAAGGCCATCATAATTATCTAAGTTGGCTTTAATAAAAAATTCTTGGAAAGGTGAGTGTGTAACATAATGTAATAAAATAAAAACTCCTCTACTTAGTGATGATAACATGAAGAAGTTGGGATTAGTGTTGTTTCATGCACATCATGCTTAGTTTTATTTAATTTAATTTAATTTAATTTAAATATAAAAAGCATGTAAATAAAAAGACTAAGACTTAAAAGAAAATTGATAAAAACAATTATATTTGTGGCTTGGATTTGCTTAGGAATGATAGCTTATTTAGAGAGTTGGACTGTGGAGCCTATTTAGTATGTTATTTTATGTAGTTTTTTTTTTTATTGAAATTGAAGTTGTTTTTGTGCACCTAATACTATATGTTGACTTTTTTGTTGGTTGCATTGAAAATAATGAATCTGTTCTTGTATGGCAAGAGCAAAGTTATTGAGTACTTGCATTTACTTAGATGAACTGGAGTTCATACGGGGAGATCAGTTAGTTTTTCATATACTGAAATTTTGTTAGCCACAAATTGTTTTTTGTATAAATTGAAGAAAAATAAAAACGTTGTTGTTTATTTCGGTTCCTATAAATGATACCACTCATGAGTTGTGAAAATTTTTCATATAAAAATATTGACTTTTATTTGCTAATGAATTTTGTGCTTGAGTTATGCAGGTAAAACAAGTTTATGAGATATTTTGGTATTTAAGTTAATATTTAAGCCTTTTTCTCGAAAGTAGGTAAAAATTTAAAAAGATAAATTTGTGTGTAGACAAAAAAATTGTCTACGTTAAATTGTTTTTATACAATATTCTTTAAATGAATTATCTCCTGTTTATTTTAAAAGTTGACTCGATATATATTCTTGAACAATATATCAAAAACAATATCTAGAGAAATACAAATGAAAAAAAATATTAGTATTCATGAATAGTATCATATATAATATTATTCATGAATAATAATAAATAGTAAATCAAGTGAGCTCAAGTAGTTTGATCAAACTGAGCCTCAGAGCTTGGTTTTGTCTCAGCCAAGAAAATACAGAGAAAAGGAGGAGAGAGAGAAAGAGCTCGGTTGGTTTCCAAACTTTTTTTTTTATTATCATATTTATATATATGATTACACGAGGAGCAGGATGATGGAGTTAAGTTTGTGTTTCTTTTTTGGGTGGTTTTGATTTCTAGGAAGCGAATTTGGTTGCTTGGTGTCGTTGTTAGTTTAAAATTAAGACAGGGGCTTTAGAGGTGTCAAGATTTAAAGACAAAAGTTGGCGTGTCTGAGTAGGATTGCTTCGAATGGAAGAAGATACTAAAGAAATGAGATCCTTGGCCTTAACTCCAACATGGTCAGTTGCAACTGTGTTGACAATCTTTGTGGTTGTTTCTCTGATAGTGGAGCGCTCAATTCACAGACTATGTAGTGTACGTGACATCTTCTTTCTACTGTCTATTATTTTTTCTTCTGTTCTTACCTTCTTCTCCTGATGTTCATTTTGTCATTGTTATGATTTGTGAGGTACTACACTGTATTTGTACAGAATTTGTTTGTTTTTCCTTCCTTCCACTCTATTACTTAAAGTTCAATGTACACAATGGATTTTCTTAATATTTTATTTATATATTTGATCCCTTTGAAACTTGGGTATATATGGATATATCATGCTTGATGGAAGGTTTTGCAAGCAGTAAGGCACTTTGCTTGGCTATTCATATCTGCCACTACGTTTCTGATGTTTTTAGGAATTTGAGTTTCTAAATAGCTTTTTATTGACTTTTTGAGGGCTTTTAGTTGATACCTCTAGCTTTCTGTCTGGTTCTTGGTCATGATTGTAGGCTGAAATCTCATTGATTATTACGTAAAATGCTTTAGATGTGAAAATTACATATTGGAAGACTGTTGTGGAAGCACCAGCTTCGTTAACTTTGTTTCAGCGGGCTTATGATAAAATTTCACATGTTTGCTTTAGGAGAACTCTATATTGACAGATGAATTGAAACAGAATCAGTCAAATTATTTTTATTTGCGTTTTGTTTCCTGGAATGCCAGTGTTGCTTTCAATAGCTTTGGTGTCTAATCTGAGATTTGATTCTTTGTTCATTTGTTTTTCAGTGGTTGCGGGAAACCGATCGGAAACCTTTGCTTGCAGCTGTGGAGAAGATGAAAGAAGGTATTTTCCAAGTTCAAAAAACAACATCAGATGCTGCAGAAAGTTCATCTAGTTCTTTTGGTTACTAGTAATTTTAATCTCCTTCCTTTCATATTTTTTTCACTAATTTTCATTCACTAGTATCATTTTGTACTTGTCTTCAGAGTTGATGCTGCTTGGATTCATATCACTTCTTTTAGCAGCTACCTCAAGCACCATAGCCAGTATTTGCATTCCATCAAAGTTCTATGAAGGTAATTTTGCTTCTTGCACGAGAACAGAGACTGATGAGGAAATTAAACAAAATTCTTCCGAGGGACGTAAACTAGTGATGCTTTCTGTTCTTCCTCATCCACTTCGAAGAATGTTGAATGGCTTGGATCGGAATACCTGCGAAAAGGCATGTCATTAATTCATCTATATAAAACATTGTTGAGGATGTTGCAATATTGAATTTTCAAAGCAGCGAGTTGATAACCTTGCTTTATTATGACATTCGTTTTCTCAATGACAAATATTCGATTCTGAAAACTGTTTGACGTGCAGGGATATGAGCCATTCCTGTCATATCAAGATCTCGAGCGGTTGCATCGCTTCATTTTCGTCATGGCAATCACACACATTTCTTACAGTTGCTTAACAATGCTGCTGGCGATTGTGAAGGTTATGCATTTTGAGCTGTTGCTTTTCTTAATGGTGAAGTGGTTTTAGGAATGGTTAAGTTCGTATGCTTAATAATTACACAACATAATGAAAGGGAAATGATGATTTTCAACTAGTTTAGAAATAGTACTAATGAGTTGGATAAATGATTAATTAATTAATTGGTAGAAACAATATCCTCCATTTTTACTAGAGAAGATAGTTAATAGCTTATATTTATTCCATGCTAGGCCTCATGACTAGTATTTATAAAAGGTATCTTTTTTATTGAGATAGAAACTTTTTGATGCTTAAATGTATTTTTTTAAAGAGAGAAAATAAAAGAATATTTTCAAGAAAAATATTCTGAATACACACACACAGAGTAAAGAATAAAGATTGTGAACTTTTGTTCTGAAGGTCTTATAGTGTATTTATAACCCATAAATCTTGTTCTCTTATAAAAAAAAAAGGTTTTGAGACATTAAAATTTAAGATATCAAATGTAGCTAAGTTTATAAAGGCTGAACTCTTTTTTAAGGTTAGACCTAATAGAAGATAGTTATTCCCCTAGACATGTCAAGAGAGGATGTTCATTCCTTTAGGGGTGTCAAGGGAGGATGATCATTTATTTGGATGTGCTTAGGGAGGATGATTGTTATCTTAGATATAACTAACTATAAAATATAAGTATCTTGGGTCTGATATCTTTTTCAAACCCATGTTTTTTTGAGCATGACTGATTGTTAAGTATAAGTGTCTAAACTTGGTTGATTGCCAAGTCTTACTGCTTTAGACTTTATGAAATGTTATTCCAAGTGTTTTAGATTTGACATGTTTGTCAAACGTATATTACTTTAAGTGTAACTGACTGCCAAGTCCAAGGTTTGGATTTGACAGAATGCTATGTTCAAGTGCTTTGTAGTTGACATGTTTTTTATATTTATGTTATTTTAAATTTGATTAATTAATAAACTCAAAAAACTTTTAGATTTAGCTAGTATCATACACAACGTTTCTAGAGCTTGTCACACTACACCCAATTGCATATAGGTTTGGTTAGTGCAAGATTTAGCATGTTTGGGACGAGGCACACTACCAAGCCCCAGCGTCACTGAGCTCCGCACACTACTAAGCCCTTACTCAAGACATGTTCATTCCCGAGAAAGGTTATAAGAGTTTTGTAAACCCATTAAAAATAGATTTATCTGGGAATAGATATATCATGTATAAAACAAGATCCACCATGCATTTGGTTCTTGTATTTAGAGTAAGACAGTATTTTCTAGTCGAACTTGTTATGTTTTTTCCCAGGACCCGGGAGAGGAAATTTTGCTGACCATAAAAACCAACGTCTTCCTGAACTGCAGTTGATCAAATACAAGATACTAGATTTGACTCATGAAACAAGAGAACCATAATCTCGTTATCACCATGACCACCTGTCTAACATTGTAATTGTTTCACCAGATTCATAGTTGGAGAGTATGGGAAGATTTGGCTCGTATGGAATGCCATGATGTATCAACAGGTAAAGCCTTGGACAGGAAAGTGGTTTTGAATAGATTTTAAAGTTTAAACAGTAACAAGTGCTGCCCAATTCTTTTTGCCTATGTCAGCTTTATACTTGATGGCTGATTTAGAATATAACTACTTAATCTCTCTCTTCTGTATACACTATTTAGCTTGTCCTTATACATGTAAGTCTAGATGCTAGAACTTTTAAAGAGATTGAGATTTCATTGTTTGTATTCGAATGAAGATACTTGGGAAAAAATAGGAACTCGCAGTAAGTTTCTGTTGTTTTTTCTTTTCTTCCTCTCTTGGCATTATTTTTCAAGGGATACCTTCACCTTCCAATCATTTCAATTGAGAATGTTTATTCTTAGAAATATTGCTGTATCACAATCACGACTTGGTAATCTATTCTGTAACAGAAAACAATAGAGAGAATACATTGCGAAGGCAAACAACCTTCGCAAGACATCATAAATCAAGCCCTTTGGTCAAGAATAGTTTTCTTATCTGGGTGGTAGGTACAAAACTCTCTTTCTTCTCTTTAATGCTTTCTATGTTGTATTCCATGCTTGCTTGTTATTACCTCCAATTCTGCAATAGAATTAGAGCCTTCCCATGAGGCCTTGTTTTAGAGCTGGTCATCGTTTGATGTGTTTTATCAACTTGCAGACATGCTTCTTTCGGCAATTTGGACCTTCAGTGGCTCGCACAGACTACCTCACTCTTCGTAAGGGCTTCATCATGGTATGCTCTGCTGTTATCTGTTATCCCAAACTTGAAGTGAATTTTTATTTCTCAAATAGCATTTACAACTGAGCACGGGGCACAGAGGAAGTTCTACTTTTCAACTAGCATTTAGGATGTATTGTCAATGCAATATGGCACTCTCCTCCAGGAAAAAGAGGGGAGTAGGGGTGTTATCATCCCAGAATCAACCGAGGAATTCAATGGTATTGTACTAGGGTTTAAGAAAGAAGAAGACAATGAAGTACTATATATACAGAGACAACGTGAGCGTCTTTGCTGATATACTGTTGGCAGTATCAGTGATGCTTTATTGACATCCATTCCTCTTGGTTTTTTCTTATTCATGGCAGAATCACAACCTCCCATTGAAACATGATTTTCACAGCTACGTGATCCGCTCCATGGAAGAAGAATTCCAGAGAATTGTTGGTGTGAGGTAACGTCGTCTACGTACTTTGAATGTTTCTTGTATTTTCTGGCCATTCATATGCATGATTGAACCAGGAGAAAATGGACCAGCTAAATGCCTGTGTTCAACGCCTTGCAGTGGTCCATTGTGGGGATTCGTTGTGGTAGTCATGCTGTTTAATGTGAAAGGTATGGCTATGAGAGTGAAAAATAATGCTATGAATTGCTTTGTTTTGCACTTGCCATTGGGTAACAATATACGAATTTCGGTGAGTATTAACAAATTAATTAACGAAACACTAAAATATATGGCTAATTCGCCGTAGCCACTCATATATCAAAAGTTATTCATCAGTGTTTTGTTTTGTTTTTTTATTTAATATTTTCTTTTAATTTAACACTTTAATAATTCTTTTTCTTTTTCAAATTCATCCTTGTTAATTTTTGGGAATTGTGTTTTGATATATTTTTTTTTTAAATTTTCTTTCTATCATGTTACATACTAGTTATATGATTTAATTTCCTTTTATTTTAATTTTTAATATTGAAAATGTTGGAATTGGGACTTTATAATTTTTTTTTCAATTTGCTTTTAATAAATTTACCATGATCTTAAAATCCAGATAATAAATTTAATAAGTTAACTTGGGTTGACTTTAATTATTTTTTTTATTGCTAAATTATTTTTTTTATTTTATTTTTTAATATTAGATTAGTTGGAAATTGGATTTTGTATTTTTTTTATTTTTTATAAGATTATTTTAATTTCATAACTCGAGTTATAAATTTAGTAGGTTGATTTGTGTTGATTTTATTTATTATTTCAAATTTGTTAATTGGATATCAATATTTTTTTCAATTTACTTTTCATATATATGTTATTTCAATATTTAAAAAATATTATTTAATATATATTATATTTTGAGTTTATAATTAAATTTCTTATTATCATAAAACAATTATCGACACTTAGATAATTTTTTTACATTAAAAAAAAATTAACCAAATCCCCATGGATGAATGATCTAGTGTTGTCTAGTGTGTGATCGGGTTATCCAAGTCTCAATCTTACTAATTTATGGCTAGTTCGTTTTGGAACCTTTCCACAGGATCTAATCTCTATTTCTGGATAGCCGTCGTTCCAATCACTGTAAGTGCTGCAGGTTCTTTTGAGTTTCAGTTTTATCAATCACTTGTATGCTGCAAAAGGAATTTTCCTCGGTAGAAACAAAAAGTACGCAGTGAGAAACAGACATTTGGAAGGACAACAGATTACAAGTAACGAATTTTGTATTACTTAAGTAATTGCACTGGGCATCTCTGATATTTCATGTCATGGGCAGCTTGTTCTTCTAGTCGGTGCAAAGCTACAACATGTTATCGCGACCTTGACATTAGAGACTGCTGGCCTAACTGGACACTCTGTAGAAGGGAAGCTGAGGCCTCGAGATGATCTTTTCTGGTTCAAGAAGCCAGAACTGTTTCTGTCATTGATCCATTTTATCCTGTTCCAGGTAAGCAATGCTCACTGTGATCAGTTGCTCAAGTTAAAATGGTAACATATACCGTCCTTTCAGTTCCTTCTTTCCTAGAAAATGGTTCTATGGTGTTGTGCCAAAGTAGCATAACTGACATCTCATTCTTTTCTTTCTCTGAAATGTGATTGCAGAATGCATTTGAATTGGCTTCATTCTTTTGGTTTTGGGTATCTCCTCTACCCTGACTTGATTATTATTCATTGGACTGCGAGAGTTCACTTTTGTCCTTTCCTTCTTGACATCAACCAAGCTCAAATTTATTATAATTTCTGTGATTGTTTGAACAAAAACCTCACTTTTTCCTGGGTTGATTCAATGTTTACGAAAGAATGATTGATAATCACTGACCAGAAGAATCAGAAATGAGGAGATACAAAGTTTTTTCTTTTCCATGATGAGGTGTTGAATCTGTACGTTGAACTGATCTGTCTTCTGTTGATTAATTTACAGTGGCAATTTGGCTTCAGATCCTGCTTTATTAGGAACCATTTGCAGGTGTACATACGACTTGTGTTGGGGTATGCATACATCTGAGATAGTTGAGACTTTCTTGAGGATTCATCAGCTTTTACAACTACTGCATTATTGTATTATCTTGTAGGTTTGCTGGGCAGTTCCTCTGCAGCTACAGCACCTTGCCACTATATGCACTTGCTACTCAGGTATCATATTGCCACTATATGCACTTTTCCCCAAGGAAAAAACATGTCAACTCATATTATATGCAAGAAAATACTAATGCATAATCTACTAGTCAACAAATATCATGAACAAGACATTAGAAGCACATAATCTACCACAATCTAGCTAGTTTTAACTTGTATCAGATGCAGATACACCACAGTTTCCAGTAACAAAGACTTGACCGCCAATATAGCCCTTCAGCCTCATGGCATATGCCAGCTGCATGTGTCTTTATTCCTGGGCTTGTTGTCAAATTCAACCACAGTATCTAAGAGAAAGAGAGGAGACACTGATGAATATATTGTTGTGTATGCTGTGTATATAATGCAGGTGTTATATAACTAGCTAGTGTCTGCCAATCAAATGCATGAACATGTCCAAGTAGGACGTCTGAAGTTCTTCATGACCATGTTTATGCAGTACTGTGCAAGCACCTAGTTTATGAGTGTACCCTCAAATTTACCGTTCATACTGATACATACGAAAGAACAGGTGGCCATGGAAATTATTTCTAACGTCAACATTGTTGAAACTAATAAATTTTGACAGCGTGATTTTTCGGCTAACAAACCTCAAGTTCTTTTCCTTCTGATTATCGTCTCCACCTTTTCCTTTCTGGGAGCGATGCTGTGGTGTTTTATCACAATCCATCACCAAGAAAGGGTTTTGGAACAAACTTCATATATTTTTAGATATGAGAATATGTCAAGATGTCGAGTCCTTTAAATTGCCATCAATTCTTTATGGCATTTTAAGAATTGAAATCATCTTTATCCACTTGTGAGTAGAACAAGCCTCCCTCCTCCTAACTAGTAACAGGAAATGCTTGAACAGGTTTTCATTGGGTTAAGGTGGTAGTATTATACCACTTGTTTTTTTGTTCAATCATTTTCTGGTTATTATTAGCATCATGTATTGTTCCCTCCCTTTTCCCAGATGGGAACAAACTATAAGGCGGCATTAATTCCTCAAAGAATAAGGGAGACAATCCATGGGTGGTGGAAAACAGCAGCTAGCGGGAAGAGGAGGCATGCAATTTTCACAGATGATTCTACCATGCACAGAGACACAAGCACATTAATGTCAGAGGAAGACAATCATCATTTGCTTGATATTCCTGAGAATGATGCAGATCCAGTCACTCAAATCGAGTTGCAGCGAGCTTCTTTTATTTCAGTTAGTCCTACCACAGTTGCCAATGAAACTTCAAGCGGGGCAGCTACTCCTTTCCTTCGACAATCAGCTTCTGTTTCTTCATCAGAAACATCAAATTTTCACCTGGACGAGATTCCTAGATCATTTTCTATGCCAGTTAGAAGGTAGTAAATTGGACTTATTCTGCCAGGAATGTAGGCTTTGTAGGGATCTTGTAAAGAACAAGGAAAAGAAATACACATTAGTACTTCGATTGTTATATATTTCCTTTTATTTATTTCTATCTCATTTCTAACGCAGTCGTGAATCGTCATTTAACTTTTTAGGAGAGGAGTACTCTCTATTCTTAAAAAAAAAAAAGCAAGTAGAAAATGCAAGAGTTTACACACACACACACACACACACACACTGTTTAATCTTTTCTTTTTTTATTTCCTCAATAAGATACAAGACGATTGTTTAAGGCAACAAGATTTGATGGTCATCCTGCTTTTCCAAATGTTATGCGACTTTTTTTTTACGGGTAAATTGATGTGTTTGTGTCAGGCTGATACAAGATGAGTACTCTCTATTCCAAATGCATGATAGCATGCAATGGTCAACTAAAAGGATACTCGTTTAGCTCTGTTTTTCTTTTTTTTCTTTTTTGAAAGTACTTTTGATTGAGATCTGAGAGCAAATATCCGAAACATTTGAGGAAAGAAACTGAGCCTGGTTTCGAACTACAGTTCAACTTCGTTTAAGAAAAGCAGAGACTGTTGTGCTCAATTATTGGTTTCTGCACTGTTCGTGATGATGCAGCTTTTTAGTTACCCCTTGTTCGTGGACTCCATGGCTCCATGCTTTGAATGGATTTGTGAGCCTCAAGTGGACTCCATGGCTCTATGGCTGCAATGATGGTTCCGTGAGATTCGTGAGGATGCCATGGCTTTGTGGCTACAACGATGGATTCGCGTGTGGACTCCATGGCTTCTTGGCGACAACAGACTCGTGAGCCTCGTGTGGACTCCACGGCTTCGTGGTTGTGATGGTCGACTGATGAGCTACATCTTCTTCTTTTCATGGTTATCTTCCCCATTATAGTTTCAACCCTTTGGAGGCTACATCGAACTCCTCTTCCAAATCTGCCTCTATCTTCTTGATTACATCCAGAGTCATCTTATTTCTTTTTTATAGAGAATTTTGAGAAAGCGATTATGCATCCATGATTTCTTGAATTTCACTGAATCTTTTTTCATGGGTTTGGACTTGGGCTTATAGTTTTTTTACGAAATTTTAAATTATTAAAAAAAAAATTATATTTTATGATTTTTTTATTGTAACCACCACATAGTGGTGGTTTCTTCTATAATGATCATAGAATCTTTTCTGCCATTCATATTTCTTTTATTTTTTTTCTATATCTTTTCATCTCATTGTATATGGTTAATACTCTAACAAAGTATTTTGAAATATTCTATTACTTAAAGCATATATAATTTTTTAAAGTCATCTCATAATTTTTATAGGCGAACCTTTTTTACACTATCAGCTTTTTAATTTGATAGTTACAAAACTTTTCATGCATGTTTGGCGGTGGTTATATCAACCATTATCTCAAAAGTAATATCATCTAAATAATAATGAATAATTATGAGTGTTTGTTGATCGTTATTTCAGACCTTCCACGTGACCTTTTTCTAGAAAGGTGTTAATGTCACTCTTTTTGCATGCTCTTGAAAGCCATTTCTCATGTATGTTAAGAATCTAGTCAAGCTTTCAAACACACCAAATATTATATTTATTATTTGTCAAATAAAAAGATTAAAGTGGGAAGTTTGAATTGCCGTATCAAACAATCAAATTTTTTTTTTATACCACTTGTAGGAAGAAAATCATTTCAAACTATAGACAATAATGCTGAATTGCAAAGCAAATGAACAAGAGAGAATTTGAGAGGAAGGAATATATACTTTATTACAGAGTTTTTAGATCTGGGATGGTGGTTGGCCTTATCCAAGGTTTAAGTTCTGGTTCTAACCAGGTTATCGAGTTTTGACAAGGTTATTAGGTTATCCAAGTTAATTTTTTTAAATTAAAATACCATCATTTTAGTAATAACAAAAAAACAAAGTCAACAGATTGCAACTAGTTTTTTTATTAGGTCTTGCCGGGTCGTCAGGTTAGTTGGGTCACGCCGGGTTTTTCTTTTCCCCATTTTTTCTTCAAACTAGCTCAATTTCAGCCTCGAGTCGATCCATCTGGCAAAATCGAGTTTCAAAACTATGTTTCATTAATTGTTTTTCTTTAAATTTGGGAGGTTCTCTAAATATTTATTTGTTTTATCTGTAACAGATTTATTAAACATAGTTGTTTCAATTCGATATTGATCTTAATAATACGAAAATGTATGAATAACTTCTTGTATTATTAATCCTTATTTCCTAAACTCCTGCCATATAGGATATTATAATTCCTTTATTTATACTAAAAAATCATTTTTTTTTATCATATGAGAAATTTGTAAATATGATGTTCTAGATAATTAATATTACAATATATTTAAGTGGAATCAAATGCTTGAAAAAATATAAAAAATTTATACGAATCTCATGAATTGATTGTGTTTCCTTTTTCACTTCATCAATATTTTGAAATTTGAATTTCTTAAAAGATTGATTTTTTAATCCATTTTTCCAAATCACTTTTTTTTTTAAAAAAATTTAGGTGTCTTAAATTTTATAACATTCTTTGTTATATATATTTTATTAAAGGCGCAATGGAATATTGAGATATGTTTATAAATGTTATAGCTAGGATACATTATTAAGTTTAAATTAATTAAATATTAATTTCACACAATATCATTTAGTAATTTAAATAGATATATGAAATTCTCAATGACTTTTGTTTCATTAATTGCAAATATAGGTTAGGATTTCATATTATCACTTGCCACAAAAAAGAACACCTCAATAAAATAAAATAAAAACTGATGGTAAATTTAAGGAAATTATTATTTTGTGATAATTTAATTAAATATATTATTGAATTAAACACAATTTTATGCATAACATTAGCTAGCGATGATTATTTAATCCCAAATACTTCTTTCTCTCCAAGTATCTAAGTTTTCAAAAGATTATAATCACAATTTTATACCAGAACAACAAAAAGAAGAATTCATCCAAGTATCTAAGTTTTTAAAATTGTGTATTTAATACACAATTTTATACTAGAACAACAGAAAGAATTCATCCGTATACAAGGATATCAAATACGGGTTTGCATTCTCTCTTCCTCGTTGAGCAATCTCTAACAGAAAAGGAATTAAAAAAAAAATTAAATCAAGGTGATGAAAATGTAATTTGACATGCTTTGGAGCCTCTTTCATACCCTGACAGCCTCTTGGCAACACGTTCTTTTGAATTATGAGTCATGCCCCATCCAAATCTGATAGCCATCTTCTCCAAGACCAGTGCATTCTTTATGAAATATTCCGCCATTTCTATCTCCGAGAAATCCCATTCAAAATCTACACACTCAATTACTTTAAGGCTTGACCTCATGCACCGAGGCGCGAATTCAGGATTTCGCCATTTGGGAATTACCGAAGAATTAAGGTATGCAAGACTTTGCCATTTGGGAGGATCCTTTGCCTGAACTGTGAAAGCCTGTAAGAAGAAGAACAATACCGATCATGCTTCCGGAAAACATTGCGGACGTATTTATCTTGTTGGAACTAACCTTGTCCTTGTATATGATGAAGACTTCCAGCTTAACAGAGCATTTGAGTATCCCATGCAAAACCATCCAACGACAATCTCCACTAGCTTCAATCTCCAAACGAGTCAAGTTACCAAAATAAGGCAGATCTTCGAAGCAAGGCAACTTCTTACGAACCGCGTTTGATAAAATCTGCATAGGGGTAAACATGTGAGGGGGTGCGTCATCAGACCACTGAAAATTTAAGCACAACAGTAAAATGAGGAAAAAACTTACCCTCATAGTAGTCCCACACAAGCGTAAGGTCCTGACAATAGGCATGATCAGTCTCAAGAACTGAACCGCCATGTCAATATAGCTATCTAGTCGTACGATGAAGTAATGTGTAAAAGCAACACTGATGGATGCCTCGAACAGTGAGCACGGAAGTTGCTGCATGTTTAACTCCTCGGACACGAAATCAGTTAGTATAAGAAGCTCTAGGTTTGGGGTATCAAGAGTGAGTGCTCTGCAACCAGGATCCTTCCTGTCATAACGAATACGCGTGAATCTTATGGTCAAGCGTTTCAGTGAGCTTGAGCATACACGTAAAGCGTTCCTGGATCGACAATCTACATGTTCGATTTTCAGTTCTTCAAGGACTGGGGAACCTGCTAATAGTTTCTCTATGGAAGCAAGATCGTCAAGCATCGGGAGTCCTTCAAGATGAAGGACCTTGAGACATGCAAAGCGCACACCAACACCAAGAAGATCAATAGCAATTCCATAACTAAGGTTCAAAACCACTAATTTCTCACAACTAAAAAGTCTCTGAGGCAACGGAACATGAGTAAATAGGGGTATCCAAAGTATAAGCTCCTCAATATTGTCCTTAATCGCTGCATCAATCCATTGACTTAAACGGGAAGAAGGATAGTTTCCATGTACGCGGAGACGAAGTTTTGTAATGGAGTTTTCACGCGAGTTATGAACATAAAAGAACCTATCCATGAAATTCCCAAAGATGATCTTACTTTTCCATGTGCGATCATCAAAATCAAAATTGGAAAGTGATTTCCAGAGTTCTCTCCAACTTTTGGACAGAATGCAGGTAGAAACAGCATCTTTAGTAGGAAGAAACGAGAGTATATGACCAATTATCACATTAGGCAAGCTACTAATCATATCTTTATTCACCTCCTCGCAGCGTCTTCGTTTATCGTCTTTGGCCATTGTCTGGAAAGGTGATAAAGGTCAAATCTTTAAAATCAAAGTAACTTAAAAGAAACCAGCAAATCATACAACACTTAGAATAATATAAGGGGAAAATCGTTAATCAAATTATAATATCATTTGTAAAATAAATTAAAGAAATGAAAGGAGAAACCAGTTAGAATTAGAAGAAAGATGCATGTTGTTGAATGGTTCGAAGAAAAAGAGAAAATTACGAGAAAAAAAGAAGTCCAAGAAATGAGGACAAGATCAACCAAGAAGGTATGTAATTAAGAAAAAGAAACTAAACACTAACCAAGATTAACAGAGACGACTTTATTGGGGCAAAGATATTAGTTTTTCTGAGGAGAATCAATGGTGATAGTGCAGTTTGGCCTGGGCTTGACTTGACAGTGATGGCGGTGTAATCCTAGCCAGCTATCTACAGCAATTCAGAGAGAAGGAAGAGAGAGAGAGGAGGGGATCAGGAGGATTTATACAGTGAGCTGCAAGGCTGCCTCTAACGAACCTCTCTCATGAACGAGTGACACGTGTTAATATAACCAAAGGAATCTCCTATCTAACAGCTAACAAGCTACCTATTAATTTGTGGCAACATCCCACAGGTATACTCGTTTCTCATGAATGACACACACACACATATATAAATGTATTATCTTATAAATTTAATAAATTATTAATTTATCATATTAATCTGAAATCAGGATCAATAAAAAATATTACTTGTTTTTTATTATTAATGTATTAAGTATTACAAGTTTATGTATTCAGTATGATATGGTTTTTCCTAAGCTATGTTACAATCTCTTCATCAATTTTATAGAATTACCCTCCTCGAACTTTTTTTTATAAAAAATATAACTAATAATATATTTTATAATGTGTCCCTCACCGTACCAGACTTTTTACTTTCAGAAGAGATTTTTTAGATTTTTTTACATTTTTTTTAAAAAAAATTATATAGATGAATTTTATTTTTTTAAATAATTTTTTTTCCAAATGATATTCATAATATATGTAGCCTGTCATAATATTTTTTTACTTTTATTTTATTTAATCAATTTAATATATGTGTCCCTTTCTATTATTATTTTATTAAATAAAAAACTTATTTTAATAAATAAATTTAGCAAGTATAGTTGGATAAATGTCACATCTTGTAAGATTAAATATCTTGATCTATATATTTTTTGATTTTTTTAATTTAATTTTTAGTTATTTTTTATAACTTTTTTATTTATTTATTAGCATATATAGTTATTGATTTATTTGATTATTTGTATAAATATTTTTGTTTATAATTTTTTAACTATAAAAATATATTGAAAAAACTAATGTATAAAATTTTGTGTTGAAAAATAAAAACTACTCCATAACAAAATGAAGACAAGCATCTAATTAATTAACAAAACTCTAAAACATATGGGATTTCTATTCTAGAGTGAAGTATTATGAATTATAAATGCTTTCAACATGTATTATACTATTTGAAGAAAAAACTAAAAGAGATCAATAGAGGGATCAATGAATAACAATATATATAGAGTGATTTCAATGTAGATTGCACTATAAATTTATTATGGACATAAACACATTATGTTATGGATGACAATGTAGCAATATAATCTTTGCATTGTAGACAACACTGTAGTATAGTAGAGGCTATTACATGCTATGTTTTTGGTTAAACTTTGCTAAGAACTGTCAAGTCAAACCCAAATCACTTACAAAAGATGTAGCCAGAGCCACTCACTATTCTTAATTAAATTTGTTAGGTATTGTCTTCTCTTATTTAAATTTACTTCTAAAAAATAAATTGACGAGATATTTTTATATTATATAAAAGTTGGGTGATGATTTTTTATTTTATTTTAGGTTAGGTTGAATTTCCTAATCAAATCATGTTTCATTTTGCATTTCAAAAATTCTTTGAAAAAAATTTGATAATTTTTAAGTTTTCTTCTTTACTTCAAATTAATATTTTTTTTTATGTTCTTGTATTATTTTTAAAAATATATTTTTTAAAAAATGTTGAGCCAAGAAATTTTAAACTTTAAATTTTTTTACTTCAAAATAATATTTTTTTGATGTTTTTATATTATTTTTTAAATAAAATATATTGAGATTGTGGGTGACTGGCGAGACCCAAGAAATATATATATATAAATTTTTTCTTTACTTCAAATGAATATTTTTTAGATATTTTGATATTATTGTTTTAAAAAATAATACTGACATTGAATCTGGTTATATAACTAGATCTATGACCGCGTTAGACTCTGCCTACCAGTGAAACCTAATAGTATTGGGCGCTACTTATAGTAGGATCCAATGCTTAATTGGGCCTTGCTTTGATGTTGAGCTCTTCTGCGACTAGGATCTAAGTTATAGCTTGGTCCATGCCAAGTAGCAAGATCCACTAATAATGGGCTTGACCTTTTGATAAAATCCAATGTGCGTTGTCAAAACCCAAGATGATTGGGTCTTAATCCACTAAGAGTACTTGAGGATGCAACAGGCATCAGAAACACAAGCTATAAACAAGCACACAAGGCCTTTTTTCCCTGAAAGAGAGAGATTCATACTTATCAATATTACAAGGGAAAGAAAGCTCCGAACCGAAAAGGGATATCCTAATTTGCTTGCCTACTTGATTGCTTTCTAAACAGGACGTGCATTTCTCCTAGAACAGGTTGGCTTACGGGGTTACAGGGAACCAGAAATGCTTGGATGTGGCACTCCAATAGGCACTGAAATTAGATTTATTTTATTTAAATTTATTTTTTAAAATAAATTAATAAAACTTTTTTAATATTGACAAAAAATTAGGTGATAATATTTTTTTTTTTGTTTTCAGATTGGGTTGATTTTTTTAATTAAATCATGTTTGATTTTGTGTTTCAAAATTTTTATTATAAAATTTTGCTAATTTTTTATTTTTTTTCTTTACTTTAAATTAATATTTTTTTATGTTTTTGTATTTTTTTTTAAACTTTGTTGAGATTCTGTTTAGCTGCGAAGTCATCCCTAAGAAATTTTATAATTTTAATTTTTTTTACTTTAAAACAATATTTGTTTTATGTTTTTGTATTATTTTTTAAATATATATATATTTTTTAAAAAATATATTGAGATTGTGTCTGGATAAGAAGGAAAACCCAATATTTTTTTAAATTTTTTTCTCATTGTTTCAAATTAATATTCTTTTTAATCCATTTGTATTATTTGTTTATATATTATTTTTTAAAAAATTATATTGAGATTGAGTTTGACTGTGTAGTTAGAACATTGAGCCCTGTCCACTAGTAGTACCACTGCTGCTGGTCTTTCTACTAAGCATGATCCAATGATGTTGGGCCCTGTTGCCTAGTAGCTGTGGGCTCAAATGGGTATCTTGTTGCTAGGTCTTTCTACCAAGATTCAAGTTTATTGGGTATGGCTCTACTGCTAGACTCGATGATAGTGGGTTTGGCTACTTAGTAGCAGTGGCCCTAACTGCCAGCAACAGAACCTAAGAAAGTTAGGTTCTACTATCACTAAGACCACACAATGGTGGAAAATTAGATTCGCACCCAAGTTTATTAGGTATGACTTTGCCGCTAGACCTAATAATAGTCGGTTGGTTTCTCAACAGTGGTGGGCCTAACTTTCTAGCAGGACCTAATAAAGTTGGACTCTGTTGTCATCAAGACTAAGCAACAGTGAAAATTTAGATTTGCAACCTAACACAAGTTTATTAGGTTTGGCTCTACCGTCAGACCCATTGATAATGAGCCTAGTTTTATAGCAAGACCTAGTAGTGGTGAGCTTAGCTTCCACTATATATCCACTAAAGATGGGCCCATCTGTCACTAAGATTCACTAGCTTGGGACCCTTCAGCCACCAGGACCTAGTAGTAGTGGGTCCTGTTTATTTGCAAGACCAAGCAGTATTGCTAGAAAAAACTAGTCGACCTGTCAGGTCAATCCGAAATTCGGGTGACCTAATATAAAATTAGTAGAGTTCTTTTTTTCAAATTTGGTTTTTTAAACTATCAAAAAATATTGAAAAATTATATTAAGATTAGGTTTGGCTGTGTAGCTAGACCTATTATATTTTTTAAATTATCAAAATATATTGAAAAAACTCTACATAAATATTTTAAAAAAATAATTAAAACATTTAACCCAGCGGGGAAACTACAGTTAGTATATTTTATAAGGTGTTCCCTTCACCATGCCAGACTAGTAAGCGGTGTTTTCGTATTCGAGAATTTTGAATCCAGCAATAGCGAACATATTACTGTTTAGAAATTGGTCACTAATTAATTAGAATTGGTGGTTAACAAGAGAGGAAAATTAACAACCATTTTTTTTCTTTTTTCTTCTTTTGAGAAAGGCCACTTAATTGGTATTTTGAATCCATCAAATTACAGACATTTTATGATATAGTATTAAAACTTTAATAATTAAACGGTAATGAATTTAACTTATTATTCTAATTTATTTGATAAAATTAAGTATAAAATAATACATATTTGTATAAATTTTAAAATCAAAAAGTTTTTAATTAAAAAAATATATTAAAAATAATATAAATTATATTTTAAAATTTCACTTCACAATTTAAATTTAAAAAATAAAACATTTTTACGACACATAACACCCAAAGCTACAAGGCTCAGAGAAACTTGTTCCTTAATCAACGTAGCCTGTTATGATAATATTGCAATGACAAGTTAGTGATGCCAATACAGATGGATGACGGGTGCCAATGGAGAAAATATGGGCAAATAATTGCAAATTCATCCCTACCCTGCGATATAAGTTTTTTTGTTAGGCCAGTTTTTTTTGAGAAAAAAGTTTGATTGAGAAGCACCATAAATAAAATACTTAGCATGATAATTATATATAATAATAATTTTTTTTGTTAATTATTATATATCTAATATGCAAAAAAAAAATGAAATAAAAACATGCTCATAAATATTCAATCAAAATAATTTTTTTGCTCTTTTTAATAAATTTTTTACATGATTTAATTTTTCACATTCATTATTATTATTATTCTTTTGCTTTCAATTACATATAAAATAATTGAAAACTTTTTTAATTGAAAATTTATTTTTGTTGTCTTCTGTTCAAATATATTTATTTTAATTTTAAAAGAGTTAAATAAGGAATATTTTGATAGCTAGCCTCCGCATGAAAAAATAACTTTTTTTTATTAGAAAAAAATAATTTCATCCCTCAAGTTTTTATTTCACGTTTTAGCCCCTGTATATTCGGTGTTTATGATTTGATCCATGGGTTTTAAAAAAAAGCATGATCTGGCACTTCGATTTTTTGAACTCTTCATTTTTAGTCCATATTGTTTTAGGTGTTTATATTGTGATCCTAACACTTGATTTTCCTTTGTTATGTCTCTGCAAGAAAAGTTATGTAAAGGTTGAATTTAATCCCTGAAGTTAAGAAAAGTTTTAATTAACCTGATCGATCATGCATAGAAGAGATCAAAGGAAGTAGAATCAGAGATCAAAAAGAAATCATCCATATATGAACATCATAGGTTTAGGTTCTCTCCACCTCGTTCAGCAATCTCTAACCGAAAAGGATGCCTTGGAGGAACTGAGCAAAGAAACCTCAAGGTGAAAATACAATTCGACATGCTTTGGAGCCCCGACGACACTCTGTCAACCTCTCGGCAACGCGCTCTTTAAAATCATGAATCATTTTCCATCCATATTCGATAGTCATCTTCTCCAAGACCAATGCATTCTTTATGAAATATTCAGCCATTTCTATCTCCCCCAACTCGCTTTCAAAACCCACATACTCGATCACCTTAAGGGACGACCTTAAGCACCGGGGCACGAATGCAGGATTTCGCCATCTGGGAGTTTTCTCTGTCTGAATGATAAAAAGTCAGTAAGAAGAACAATTCCGATATTACTTCGAGAAAACATAGCTTAGGAGAGCATATTATAGGAACTAACCGAGTCCTTGTATAAGATGAAGACTTCCAACTTAGGAGAGCATTTGAGTATCTCATGCAAAACCAGCCAGCGATCATTCCCACTAGCTTCAATCTCCAAACGAGTCAAATTCTGAAAATCAGGAAGATTGCCGACACAAGGCAACTTCTTATGAACTGCGTCTGATAACATCTGTAAAGGGGATGTCTATGTGAGGGAGGGCATGATCAGACCATGGAGAATTTAAGCACAACAGTAGAATAAGGAAGAAGCTTACCCTCATAGTAGTTTCACACAAGCGTAAGATCTTGACAATCGTCATGATCGGTCTCAAAAGCTGACCCGCCATGTCAATATAATCATCTACTTTTATGGTGAAGACATGTTTATAAGCAACACTGAGAGCTGCCTCGACTAGTGAGTACGGAATCTGCAGCATGTTTAACTTCTCGGACACGAGATCAGTTAGTTTAAGAAGCTCGAGGTTTGGGGTATCAAGAGTAAGTTCTCTGCAACCAGGATCCTTCTCGTCATAAGCAACCAATGGGAATCTTATGATCAAGCGTTTCAGTGAGCTTGAGCATATACGTAAAACGTTCCTGGATTCACAATCTTCGTGTTCGATTTTCAGTTCTTCGAGGACTGGGGAACCTGCTAATAGTTTCTCTATGGAGGCATGATCATCAAACATTGAGAGTTCTTGAAGATGAAGGACCTTGAGACATGGAAAGTGTACACCAACACCAAGAAGATCAATATCAATTTGATAACCAAGGTCCAAAATCACTAACTTCTCACAGCTAAAAATTCTCCGAGGAAACGGAACATGATCCGCTGTGTATATCCAAAGTTTGAGCTCCTCAAGATTGTCCTTAATTGCAGCAGAAATCCACGCACTCATACGGGAAGGAGGATAGCTTCCATTTACTCTGAGACGAAATTTTGTAATAGAGTTTTCACGAGAGTTGTGAAGATAACAAAACCGATCCATGAAATCCCCAAAGATGATCTGTCTTTCTGCTGAGAGCCGCGGCCACAGCATGCGATCATCAAAATCAAAATTGGAAAGTGATGTCCAGAGTTCTCTCCAACTTTTGGACAAAACGCTGGTTCGCACAGCATCTTTTGTAGGAAGAAATGAGAGTATATGACCAAGAACCACATTAGGCAATCTACCAATCATATCTTTATTCGCTTTCGTGCAACGTTTTCGTCCATTGTGTTTTGCCATTTTCTTGAAAGGTGAAAAAGATAGAATCTTTAGCATCAAAGTAACTTAAAAGAAACCAAATCATACAACACTTGGAATATTATAAGAGGAAAATCGTTAATCAAATTATAAGATCATTTGTAAAATAAATTAAAGAAATGAAGAAGAAAACCAATTAGAATAACAAGAAAGATGCGTGTTGTTGAATGGTTCGAAGAAGAAGTGAAAATTACACAAAAAAAGGTCCAAGAAATGAGGACAAGATCAACCAAGAAGGTATATAGTTAAGAATGAGAAACTAAAAACTTACCAAGATTAACAGAGAGGACTTTATCGAGGCGAAGAGATTAATTTTTCTGAGGAGAATCAATTTTGCCTGGGCTTGACTTGACAGTGATGGCGAAGTAATCCTAACTAGCTAGGTAGCAGCAATTTAGAGAAAAGGAAGAGGAAGAGAAAGAAGAGGGAATAACGAGAAATTTATATAGTGAGCTCCAAGGCTGCCTTTAACCACCTTCTCTCATGAACGAGTGACACGAATTAATATAACCGAAGGAATCTCCTAACTAACAACTTGTACTCCATCTAGAAGGCCCGAGTTATGCCAGGTCAAGTGAAAAAAAAAAAAAAACATGAAAAAGAATGTTCACAATTAGAAAGTTAATCATCATTAATGAAATCTTTTGTTAGTATTTAAGTTATATTTCTGGAGGCATTTCAATTATTGGTAGATTTGTTGATGAAAACTTGTCATCAAGAGCGGCTCTCGCTAGAAATTATAATTCTGTCAATAAAGTAACCTATCGACAAAAACACCAATAGAATATTTACGCTATTTTAGACCATTTTTTGGTTAACCAATCCGTCGATAAATATTACTAATAGATACTAATCATATGCAATCGACATGGGGAGGTATAAAATTTTTTCACACCTTATAGCCATTCGATTAGACCATTCTCTTTGCATAGATGTGAGCATCATATAATCGCACAATTAGGTTCAAAAATATGTTAAACAAAAAAAATATAATGATTTTATGAAGAAAAAAATTGACACGGTTTCCCAGACTCACCTGACCATCTTAGAGTTTGGCCTCGTTCCAACAAAAAAAAATATAGACATAGACATCACCATTCGAACATTCTTTGAAGTGAAAGTTTATCCTTATCTGTGTTTTTTTTTTAATTTGATTTAAATTCTATAATATTCTTAACTTATTTACAATTTATTTTTTAGAGTTAATGTTAGTCTTTAAAAATAGAAGACATGTTAAAAAATTAACATGAGTCCCTGAAAATAAAAGACTTCTTGAAATATTGATATTTAATTCTAAAAAGGAGAGTTATGTCCAAGTTGCAAAAAAAGAGAGGCATGATCCATATTTGTTTTTAAAATTTTGATATTAGTCCTATTTTTATTTTTATTTTTTTGTTAAAGAGATGCGTCTAGGAATAACATTTCTCCCTAAAAAGGAAGATTATGTTGGAATAGCTAAAAAAGGGCATGACTCATATTTGAGAATTGGGCTTTATACTCGCACACAACGATGGGATAAACCAGATGTTGGACCCATATCGTTATTTTTTTATATTTATTTTAGTTATTTTACAAAATACAAAAAAAATTATACAAATACATATATAAAAAGGCAAATAAAATTCCCTAAAATTACCTAAGTGTCACTGTATAGGAAAATGATTGAAATACACTTGAATTTCACCGTAAATAATGAAAATATCCTTATTGGTGCGTGTAGTTAACACATGGCCACTATTAAAGGGGTAAAAGTTTATGGTGATATTTCAGGTAAACAAGGCCAGCTTTTAGTAGATTATAGTGAGAGGATTCCTATGGTGATGGTGATGTTAGTCATTGATGGTCGAGGAGAAAGAATTGATTGTCTAAAGCTTTGGGTGGCTAAGGGTAATTATGGATTTTTCTAGAAAGATAAGGTGATGAAGACCATCTAGGGTTTGCTTGTGAGGAGAAGAGAAGTCTTTTGTGGTGTTCTAGCAATTTGCGATGGTCAGAGTTGGGACATTTAACTCTAAGAAGAATGGAGAATCACTAGAGAGAGGAGAAAGAGTCTTTGAGGTTTGTTACAGTGTGGAGTTGAGCATGGTAATCTAGTGCACCTAGAGCTTGTGCATTACTAGATCACTTCTGAATTAATCCCTCAGTTGTGGTTGACTTGATCTAAAAATTGATTTAAATATCTTAATTGACAAATATTTGTTTTGGTGTTATAAGATGCATTGAATGCTTGGTACACCACGTAATGTATCAAGATAGGATAAAATTACTCAAACCAACATTTCCATATTCAAAATACAAACCTTACTAAACCTAAAATTTAGATATTATCGTTTCCCCAACAAAACTTAAGTTGAATAATGAGATTAATTGCAAATAAACATGGATATAATATTTAAAACATGCATTCTAAGTCAAACAAATAAGAAAAAAAAATCAAATTTAAGCTATTTATATTCAAATCACAAACCCTAATAAACCTAAAATTTAGGGATATTCATTTCCGTACCAAAACTTAAGTAGAATAATAAACTTAATTGCAAATAAATATGTATACAACACTTAAACATGCATTCTAAGTTAAACAAACAAGAAAAAACCAATGAATTTAAGAATATCCATGGAAGAAAATGAAGAGATCAAATCTTAAAGGGTAAAAAGATAAAAAAAACTTTGTTACCTTTGATTGAGAGAGAGGATGTTGCCATCGCCTATTACACCATTAACCATTCTAGAGAGAAATAGATGTGAGAAAGGGGATGAAATCAGGGAAATAAGGAAAATTGCTCGACATATATGGGTTAAAATACAACAATTGAATTTTTTTTATTGATGAATTCATTAATGATTTAACACATCATCAAATTAATGATAAACTCACCAATAACAATTTTTAATTTCATCAGTGAGTTCATCAGTAATTTTAAGAATTTATAAAAAAAATTAAAGCACCCTCAAAATCTCCAATGAATTTTTATTTCTCAACAATTTTGTTGGATTGTCCCAATTTTATGAATTTTTTCTTTAAGTCTTTGTAATTCTCTGACCATTTTAACATCCATTAATAAGTCTATCGGTGATTACCACATGTATAAATTATTGATAAATTGTTTTTTATAATTTTTAATTATTTTTAAATTTCATTGATGATTCTCTCATAAATGTTTTAAAAAAATATTCATTTTTTTATATGTTTGTTATAATCCTTTATTCAACCTAATTATACAACAATAACAATAAGTAACAATCATATTTAACAACTTATTAAAACCACAATCATAAGAATAAACACTTGATAAATGTTTAAAATATAATGCATTATAAAGCGATAACAAATATTATAATTACACAATGATGTTTTAAGTTATTCATAGAAATCACATATTCTTAAGTTATTTATAGATAAGAAATTATGTTTTTTTTTATCTAAGTTAAAGATGGCTTTGGGCTTTGCGACACGTTCCTTATCATTAAACAACTTCAACTTCATATTCTGATAGTTACAAAATAAATCTATATTCATTCTAGCTTTTATATTATCTTTTTTTTTTCCTTTTAAATGGTTTTTTTCCTTTTAACTCCTTAATCAACGATTGAATATAAAAATCTGCATTCTTACCTAGACTGTAAAAATTAGGTATGATTATAGATAATAACATGAATTTCAAGCCTCATATATATCCTCGGTGGTAAGTTGCAAATTGTTATTATGACTAGCCAGCAAAAACATGGTGCCACAAAGGACCCAAATGTATTGAACCCATTTGTATATAAATCAAGATTTATATTTTGTAGTTCCATTAAAAATAAGGATGCACTTGTACCCTACTAAACAACTTCTAAGTTTTACCATTAAAAAGGTGTATCATGACTATATTTATTGTATTATATGAATGATATCATGTGATGTACTAGGTAGTCTTTAGAGCACAAATAACATTTGCACCTTAGAAGTGATTGAGAAGTATGTTGGTTTTAGTATGTAATAAATGTTCTTTCTTAACTAGTATCAGGTTTATACCGAGTATGGTGATTTGCACTTAATTAAATTTATATTTTCACCATAATACAACATGCAAAAGTTTAAGAACATATCATTTTTTTGTTATCCTATGCTAAGGGGTTTGATCATCGATTTTACAATATAAAAATTCTTTTTTTGCCTATTCATTTTTAAAAAAATATTTTTCATCCATTTGATGATGTTATCATAATCAGCTTCACTCAATTCATAATCTGACTTAATGGTAAGCACTCATGTGATAGCTGATAATTTACTGTGATTTATATACCGATATTATAATGGTTAATCTACATGTGAAGCTTCATCTAAATAAAAACAATTTCTTTGCAAATGAAAAAAAAAAAAAACTATACCAAAGCACTATCCTTGTATTTTAAAGAGCAAAAAAAAAAAAAATCAACGACTCAATAGAAAAGACAGAGAACTAAAAAAAATAATGATCGTCAAACTCCATGACTCAAACTACAGAATGATGAAATAAAAAAAAAACAATCCATAAAAAAAAATTATTAAAAAACAAAGCACCAACAAAATCAGATGAGATGGACAAAACCTGTGAGTAGTATCATGTCAAATCTTAAATATATAAAAAAAATATAATTGAAGGGCTAATTAAAAAGAAAAATCAAATTCACAAAAGAATCCAAAACATTAAAAATAGAGGAAAGCAATTTTCAACTAATTCAACGATGATGGATGAAAATTTTTAAAATAATTAAAAATGGCTAAAGCGAACTTGATCCAACTTTCAAAATTTACAACACAGATCATGAGGTCAAATCACAATATAAAAGGCAAAAAGAAAAATAACAATGTAAAATTTTAAACCAACTACATAATTAGGACTAAACGTGAAAAAACAAATTAAACAAGAGCAATTTAAAAAATATAGATTTGAAAATAAAGATAATCAAATTTGATACAAAAGAAAAAAAATAAATCATAAAAGATGAAATTGAAAAAAAATTTCAATTAAGAAAAAGATAATAACAACTTAAAATAGTAATAAAAAAATAAAGATCATATTTGATATACGTATAAAATATTAAGGAATGAAATCCAAAGACAAATAAATTCAATAAAAGATCCAAGACAAAAAACATCATAATTAAGAGAATAAGAACCAAATCTAATATAAAAAAAATGTAAAAGGATGCAATTAAAAAAATAATTTACTTAATAAATGATCCAAGATCAAATCTAATATAAAAACAAAATATCAAGAGATGAAATTAAAAAAATAAATTAACTCAATAACTAATTTAAAATCAAATATATTGCAATCAAAAGAATAAAGATCTAATTTAACTTAACAAATAAATAGCTAGATTTTTATTTATTTTTTTACAATGGTCAACATGTTTTTCTTGATAAAAAGAAGGAAAAAAAGAGGAATAGAAAATCTCCTTGTTAGCACCCCTCCGCATGTTATCTCTAAACATGCCTCATCAAGATAACCATGATGGTAAGGCATATCAAATGTTGTCTTGGATGATGACACGTTGTACTATGTGAGGGCTGCATATACCATTCAAAGAGCATGGACAATGCCAACAACTTTTTTAATTTAATATATATATGTTCAAATCACTACTAATGAGAATTATCAAAAAATCATAGTAAAAAACCTAAAATAACTTTTGTATTAATAGTAGAGAGAGGAACATTTAAGTAATTGATATGCATAAGAAAATAGAGAAACCCTGTAAATAATTGTTTCTAAGAGTTATTTGGTGATTACACTTTTAAAAAACATGAAATTACTAATTAATACCTTTTTTAACATAATTTTTTATATAATCCATAAAAAAAGCTCATACTCCTAAAGTTAATCTCGCTCATTAAGGGCAAAATCAGCCTTTTGTAGATTCGCTGTCTTTTAGTTATAGTTAACATTAACCGTGCTTTCCTTCAGAAATGACAGTGGTTGCCCTGATTATCTAATTTTATAATGACAAATTTCATTATCAAGAGAAAACTCTGTCTACAGAGCCTTTATACTATAAAGTAGGAAAAACAATGGATCCCAAGGGATCTGAAATAACAGAAATCATAGTAAAGAATATCAAAGTTGCACAACTGGCATATCACAGAATATTGAGAACTCGAAATTGCTTCATGGATTAACCTCGAGCCATGAAGGCTATACTTGACTGATTGAACAATCCTCCTTACAACAGCACTTTCAGTAGATTTATTTGCCCCTTGTATCCTGCCATTTTTCTCTGTCCATATAAAATATCCATAAGATCACCAAGCCATCTTTAGCAACATAGCGGGAAAGGATCTTTACATCAGAAATTGTTCAGACCATTTTTATTCAAAAGTCCAGTCTCCTACTTGTCAGCCGATCGTTCACAGTTGCACAATATTCTGCCAAATTGCTTTTGAGGAGCAAGTGAAGAAAACACGACGTCTATTTTCATCTTCTTAACTGCACAATGCACAATCAGGTTTGATATTTCTCTGCCTTCCAATCAGCTTGAATTTGGTGGACAAACTATCCAGAATGGCTAGCAATACCACAAAGTCATGTCTCGGAGTGCACACAGATCCCCAACAAGTTTGAACCAATCCTTTCTTCAACTCAAGGAACTGCCACGCACTCGTATAAGAGTAAGAGCCATCTAGACTAAACTTCCAAATCACAGTTTCGTTTACCAGTAGAATAAACTTGGCAAGAAAATTCATGGCTCTTCAAAAATGTTATCATGAAAACCCCATTGGACAGAATTAGATTCACTTTTAGAGTGCGCCTGGGATGAAAAAGCTTCTATGATGGCTCTTTTCTATTACTTCAGAGAGGAGAACATCATCACCAATTCTCCTACAATTTAGAAAAGCTTTCTGATTGCTGCCAATGAGAAAGGGCAGACAATTACAAGTCTATTCGCTATAATCTTAGAGATACACTGTACAAAGTTGTGCGGCAGGAAACAGGTCTGAAATCTGAGACTTTGTTTGCATTGGGATCTTTAGGAATAAGAGCTAGAAAAGTTGCATTGATTGCTTTTAAAAGCTTACCAGATTGAAAAAAAAAATCAAAACAGCATCAACCACTTCATCACTAACCACACTCCATGAGGTTTGGAAGAAAAGTATTTCGCCTATTGCCAACAAGAAGTTGAAATTGCGTCCATACAAGGTTCCTTATCTTCAATAATTTCCTCCAGTTCCTCGTGTACTGTCATTAGGAGTTTTGAGGCTCCAGATGCTTCTCTCCTTCAAAACGTTGCCATTGACACCAAGCTGCCCATAGAGAACCTGCTTGAAGAAACATGTTCCAAACACTATATAAACTTTCTAATCTCATTACACAAGCATAACTCCATTATTTGATCTTTCTAATAGCCAATCCCTATTTCTTATTAGGAAGAGCAACACAATCCCAACAGAAAATTCATCATTACCATTTCAAAGACATGCACTACATAAACTTTCTTTCAATAATTTTGATAACTGGTCTGGGAGAATAAATATGCAACACCAGTATGTTTGAAGGCTAAAAATAAGAGTGGAGATCACTTGAAGTATCTCGGCGAAAGAGAGAAGTTTTGACGCCAGTGCTGAAATCTTTGTGTGATCTTGTCAACCAGCACCTGGTAATCTGCAGATTTAAGTCTACCAGTGATAACAGGAACACCCAAGTACTTCAATAGAAGGTTACCCATTTTGAAGCCTGGTGGACTTTGAAAGCTTGTTAGAAAAAATAAAAACACAGAAATTTGGCTTATTAGGAAGGCAAAAATGACAGAAAGAAAGAAAGAAAAGGAGTAACCTAACCTGAAATTTCATCAAACAATTCCAGTATACATAAGCCAAATTAACCAGCACAACTTAACCCAACCTCTCGGTCCCATGATTACAGGGGTCGTCCTCTAAATCTCTCTGGTTCATAATTTTAACCTTCACAGCTAGCTAGCATCTCCTAACACAAATGGATTACATAAAGCTAATTAGTGACTAAAACACAAACATAAAAACGGGTATTGAATCCCCCTAATTCGAATTCTTTTACACATTATCAAGAAGTGCTTAAAAAGACGGTAGAAACCATTCACCTTCTTACTAGACCAATCCATCCTGCTCCGTTCTCACATACATACTGTCTTTCTTTAATCTAATTTCACCATCCACGCGATTAACTGCATTCCAAGTCCATACCGATATTCAAATGCAATCACAACCCACCATCACCATCACCTTCTTGCACAACCTAAAGTTGTCATCAGCAAATCACAACCCATTTTGAAAAACATAAAAAACAAAAAGCTAGTAAAAAGAAGAAACAATACAAATCCTGAAAACCTCCAAAAGCAAGACGAAAGGGGTTCCCCTTTTATTGGAACCCACAAGTAACAGACCCCACTCACCCATAAAAATAATGAATATAAACCTCAAATCCCAAAGACAGACAGACCGATCGATCCATCATCTTCTAATCCAACCCAACCCACTTATAAAATTAAGCTTCTTTTCTTTTCTACTCACACCCACTTACTCACGTATGCTTCTAGTACGGTACCATACGTATGAGAAAGCTTGGCTCCATTGACACGTCAGCAACAGATCCATTGAAAGAGGAGGAGGCCCCACCCAACCCAACAAAGTCAGTCCCCAGCCCACCAAGCCTCCTCGTATTTGTTTTTGTCGTCGACTAGTGCTGATAGTGACAGGAACCAACTTAGTATGTTCGATTCCCTAGCAACCAACCATATTTTGCCACGACACCAATATGTAATAAATAAATTAAGAGCAAAACAAGAGAAGCATGCAGCCTTCTACATGCATGTTCTGTTCGTGTGAGTTAGTTATAGCTTTCAAAATCTTCAGTGACCGTTGGAAGCGCGAACCACTCAAACCCTAATATATAGATGGGTGTAGCATAACAATTACGCGTTTTTTTTTTAATCTGTAAGTTTGTTTCTTTCCTCCTCTTCATTATTTGTTTAGGGTTTCCAGCAGAGAGTCTCTTCTTCTCTCTTTTACTCAGTCACCCATTCCCATCTTTCTTTATCAATAATAATCATTTAAAGAAAGGGAGGAAGTCTCTCCCCATCGTTGTTTTTCAATTACTGGAGTGCTTAATTTGATCTTCAAGAATTAGTCATTCTTGATTCTTGATTCTTAGTTTCTTGGTTTCTTATTTTTCTGTTGTTCACATTAATTATCTTTCTTGATCCAATCCAAATAACCCTCAATACGTCCACTGATCTTCTGAGTAAGTAACAGATTCGATGGCTATATCCCAGTCACAAACCCTAGCAACATTAACTTCAATCCAACTACTCCCTGGTTATAGATTCAACCCTTATGATGAAGAATTGGTGCGCTTCTTTCTGTATCCCAAACTCACTAACCCTTGCTTTACCACCTCTGCTCCTGTTAGAGATTGCAACCTCTATGCCTGTCAACCTCTCCAAATCTGGAACACCTTCCACAGAATCCATGGTGAGGATGTTTTCTTCTTCACTGACCTCAAAAGAAAAAGCCCCAATTCCAATGTCTCCCGCAAAATCGCAGGCGGCCCTGCAACATGGCATAGAGAGGACAAAGACCATCAAGTATGTGTCCAAATTGACAAAAATTATAGTGTCACAGCCCTCAAGAAAGGCTTCAGTTACCGAAATACTCAACCTCACCAACCTGGCTGCAGTTGGATGATGTACGAGTATAGCTTGCCATCCCTTTCGCAGGTCACTGTTTTGTGTCAATTGAGAAGGAAAGACGATGACAACACCCATCAGTCGATGCAAAAAAACAAAAAGAGGAAGAGGCCCGATGCTGATGGTGTTGATGATGCAGCAAACACCATATCCCAAAAGGCCAGGGTAGATCAACACGATCAGCAGCAACATAACATGGGTTTCTACAGGGCATCCGAAACTGTATCTGAAGAAGTGGTGAATGGGGTGAGATTTAAAGATTTTGAGTCTTTTTATCGTGAAAATGTGCAGGATTTTGACAGTTGTGAGATGGCTGCCTATTCCATTACATCCACTACTGGCCATGTTTCACCAACTACTGTATCCACATTGAATCCTGAGGAGAACTTCAAACCATTTGAAATTTTTTGGATCGACAATGACGGGGAAGCTGAAGCAAACGAGGATGACAATTTGCAGCAAAAGGTTGTTGAGATGCTAAATTTCTCTGACGAGGCGGATGTTGTCCCAACCATTGAAGCAGCACCTATTCAGGCTGATGGAGTTCAAGCTACACAAGTAGGGTCGAATCTGATCGAGGTTGTCTGCATCGACAATGATGGGGAAGCTGCAGCCAAGGGGGATGACGATTTGCGTCCAGAGATTCTTGAGCTGCTAAATTCCAATGGCTGCTCTGATAAGGCAGATATGGTCCCAGCCATTGAAGCAGCACCTGTTCAGGTTGATGGAGTTCAAGCTACACAAGTGGGGTCGATTCTGATTGAATCCTTTACATCTGAAGTCGTTGATCATCATCCTGACTCTGAAGTTTCTGATGATTCCACCCTTAGCAGCGATTGGATAGAGTCGTTTCCGCCAGCATTTGCACAAGCAAATCCAACATGCGGCCTGATTCAAGAAAATAAGATTCAGATGATTCCCAATCCATTTTTCATGGACTGTTTTTATTGATTTCATGTTTTCCTCTTTGTTTATCCACGAGATTAGAGGCTGTTGTCATGTATCTATGGAAGCTGTACATCGATCATTCTTTTTTCATATACAAGGACATGGAGAGTTCTTTAGTACTATAGTCTATTTTTTACCCACTTCTAGAGTGCTGCTAGTATCATCTCCTATTTGGGATCCTGGAAAGCTATTTGTGTAGTGTTAAGGACAAGGGATATAATCCTTGACAAAAATGCTATTTAATTTCTTTTCATCCTAAATTCATCAACTCAGTATCTTATCAACATTGTTTCTAGATTTTGTGTCTATTAACCTAATAATATACATTAGTGTGCTGTTTATGAATGATTGAATTACACTAAACAATTTTTGCAAACACACATCACATCCTTGAAGGCACAATTCATTCCTTAATTAAGAACTGTAATAATGCAATACATGTTCGAACTTCAAAATTCAAAGTAGAAATTAACACTGCAAACAGATAGGAAAGTGAAATTACTAAATGACAAAGCAAGTGAATGCAGCTAAACAGAGGACGTGCCATTAACGATTGCTTTACATCGTAGTCTCTTACTTGAGTTTAATTATTTTACATTTCTCACGATTGCCCCTACGAGTCCGATTCATGGTTCAAAAACTATTATAATCAAAGAATCATAGGTTCTTAGGGCTACAGTAGCACAATGAAGAATTGAAAGAACCAACAATAAGTGGAGACTCGGCACCTATATAAAGTCTCACAAATGAGAATTTGAGATCGTCTTAGGGTTCCTTGACCGCAAAGTAATACGCAGTGCCTCGCATCCCACATTCATCGTTCTTGTTTGGCTTCAAATTGGTTTCTTTTTCTTGAATCACTAGTTAATTACCAAATTACCCTCTTTATTCTTTAAGAAATTGGGGGGAATTACTGGATATTTTGGATAGTATAAAACAAGCTTAATCCATTTGGGTTCACTAAACCCATCTGGACAAGCGGGTCACTAAACCGGGTTACTGAGTTTTTAACATAAATCGGAACGGGAGTTCCATGATGTTTTATCGGCATATACATGGGCCACACCAGCAGCCTATGAGATGTCGACACCTTGTCTTGTTGAACTCCCAAAGATTAATCATCGATTATAAGTTATAACCATTGAGCTTCTGTCACGTGTTCAACCCCAATCACATAACACCTTGACTTTCTATTCCTCCCCTCTCTTTAGTAGAAGAGAGAAATGGCGAAGAAGCTATTCATTACAAATAAATAGTGCTTTGAACTCATTCAAGTTATAAGGTAGCTTTCTCTTTCTCTTTTCTTTCTTTTTCTTTTTTCTTTTAGTTTAGTTTAACCGAATTACACTGTCTCACTTTATTTTACTATTTATGAATAATATTGTTTACATGATCCTATTCCAGCATTGTATTATTCATTATTATTTATGAATGGTCTTTTTCTTATATATTTTTTTAGATATTTTTCAAGCTATATATTCTTTGATTTTAAGAGAAAAATGAATATATATAGAGATTCAAGGGGGTAAACATTACATTTATTATATTTTCACTATGTAGATAACATACTTAACAAGACAAAGAAGACAACTTTTCTCTATATATGAAAAATATATATTTTATTCTCTTTAATTTTTACTTGCTTGTCACTTGATAAAGCAAAATTAAATATTAACTTAAGCATTGAAGTATTCTTTATTCCATTATCTTATTAACCAAGAAAAATCAATATTTTTATGTGAAGATTTTCCACGATTTCATTAATATGGGATAGAAATAGTTTTTTTTTTCTTTTGTAACTACATTTTAAAAGTGCATTTAGCTTGAAAAAAATATTAAATTGATATTTTTTTTTAGTGTTTTTTGATGATTTTGATGTGCTGGTGATGTCAAAATTTTAAAAAAATTATTTTGATATATTTTCAAACTAAGATATTTTTTTAAAAGCATCATGCACCACAATACTAAATACGAGGTTGAATTAAATTTTTTTATTTTATTATATGATACAAAATACTAAAATTAATTTATAATCAACTTAATATTAAAGGATAAAATATAATAAAAATCTACCATTAAAGGTTGGAATTGGAATAAAAAAACAAAGAAAAAAATTAAGAAAAATAAAAACAGAGGAAAAAACCAAAAGACTAACAAAAAAAAATCCTAAATGTGCAGGCTTGAGTGGCCCGAAACAACTGAGATTGTTACAATAAAGTACAGGCATAAGCCTGCATGCCTAGGCAAATAATTTTCATAAAGAGTGCATGACATGTTATTTATCCCTTCTTTTCAAAATAAAAAATAAATAAATAGCAAGTTGTTTGTTATGATAAACAATTTATTGTCTTTTTTCTATAATTTGATCAACAGAAATGTGGCTAAAAAATCAATAGAGATGATTTCTTTTAACATAAATTCTATTTTCAACCATTTTTAACTTGAAAGAACAAAAGAAAACATCATAAAAACTTAAATAAACTCATTTATAACATTAAATAACTTAAAAATGGGTTGAAAAAATAAAAATCAACCCAAATTTATAAAACTCCTCAAGCTCACATCTAAGGTAAGATGAAGGTTGAACAACACCATAGTAGAACTCTTCTTGTTAAATGAAACTTTTTAACACTGAGATCTATTTTTTTTAAGCTAGAATCGATGTCAACTAATCAATTTCTCTCTCCTTGTTGTTTTCATGTGAGTTTCTCTCACCTCTCTTTAGCTTAGAGTTGAAAAATTGAGAAAATAAACTTTTAGATCAAAATAAAAATTTTAAGTAATGTGTAATTAGCCATATATTTTCTCTTAAACTTTCGAGACAAAATGAAATAAATCATTTGTCACTAAAATCAACCTTTTTCATGGTCAAAATCGGTGTCAACCAATCACTTTCTATTTTCTCGTTATTTTTAGATGAGTTTTTATCTTCTCTTTCTAGCTTAAGGACTAAAAAATAAAGAAAATAAATTTTTAGATCAAAATAAAAATTACAAGCAATCTATAGTAAGTCATATATTTTCTTTATGTTTAACAAGTTAGTCCTCTATCTTTAAATTTTGTAGTTTTACTATAATCTCAAGCCTAGTTTATTCAAACAAGATTATAGAAAGGTATGATTAAAAGAAAAAAAAAAAAGTAATTTGTTTCACTATCCATATGGACTGTGAAATTATCCAAGTGTTTTAGTTGTTTTGTTAATTATAATGCATTAAAGTGTTAGTATTTATAGCTTTTTAAGTACACTAAATTACAATTTTAGTCCACATAATTTTACTTATGCTTTTTTTATTATTGATCTTGGACTGGTTGTCATATTTTATACCACTGTAGTAGAAATTGTCAAAGAATCATCTCGATTCAATAGCTTAAGTTGTTAGATGAGATCTTAAGATATTATTTATATTATTTTCTAACACATCCCCTCAAATAAAAGCCATTTGAAGTTGAAACTTACACATACTCATACTATCTTGTGCTTAATTTTTATCAAATAAAATTGGGTAGTGAGATTTAAACTCATGACCACTTGGTCATCAATACTTTGATACCATGTCAAAAAACCATCTCAATCTAATAGCTTAAACTGTTAGGTGATATCCTAATATATGATTTATATTATTTTCTAATGGAAACGATTACATTTTTGTTTTCCCTTCTTTTCATGTGATGTAAAAGCCATAATCTTGATGATTGTTGTTTTTGTGTGTTTGTTAGTAGTTTAGAAAATTCAAAGGATATAAATATAGATCCCATTTAAAAAAAACAAGGATTTTTAGAAAATTGTTGCTAGAGATGCTAAAATGATGCCATTGGATGGTGATGAATATGATAGTAGTGTAAAGCCCTTTAAAATGTGGCAAACAAAAAATATCTAAACAAAATTTATATTAAATCTCCTTGTTCAAATTTTAAATTGTGTGATAGCAATTGCTATTTAGGGTGCTCATCAAGTATTGCTTTATAAAAAGAAAATAGATTGACAAATACATTTCAAGATAATTTCTTCCTTTCATAATAATTCTTTACCACAAAAAAAAATGTGAATGAAAATTTCAAGATGTTGATGAAAGGGGTTATTATCCATGGTTTTTAGCAAAAATATTATCAAAAAAAATCATTTTAATCTAAAAATTTAAGTTGTTAAGTAAAATTTTAAGTGAAAATGTTTTGGACTTGAAATTTATACAAACTCACACTACTTTATATTTAATTTTTATCAAATAAAATAAGATTGTAAGATTTAAACTCGTGATCATTTTAATTAATAAAACTCTAATATTATATCAAATAATCATCTCAACCTAAAACAATAAGCTATTAAATCTCATTCATATTAAATCTCATTCATCGCATAAAATGTCAAGGAAAAAAAAATCTCTATAATAAAAGAAACTTATTTGAGGTAAGAGATAGCAACAACAAGCAATTGAATTCCAATACACAAGACCAGTCTATAATGCATGTATGTGGTGAAAATTCAAGTAAAAGCACTAGCCGTATCGTTCCTCCAGCTTGGCTTGCTTCCTATTGACGTATAGCTTCGCATTATCAGTTCAATCATCAATATGCATCCAAACCACTTGAATTATATCCATAGCTTGTTGCATTACTTTTGTCAAGTAAAACTAGGCTCTCCAAATAGGAACCAATGAAGGTACGGGAAGGTTCTCCCCAAATTCGAAGATCCCTAACTTGCTGGCTCTCCAGGTCACCGGAAACTATCCAGCCACTCCTCTTCTCCATTAAAAGTTCCTCCTTCCTAATTCCCAGTGCTCTGGGAATACCCTCCCCTTGTCCAGCAAGAGTCAACACCAGTTTGGTCCATGACTCCACCACACCATACTCCTTCATCACCCATATGTGGAACTGAACAGAAGACAAAAGGCTAGCCGGGCATACAGAGATGGAAGATTCTTTATATACCATAAGGGGCAAACATGAGGGCCTCACATGAGCCAAACAACTAGGCAATGCAATCTCAAGAAAAATCTCATCACTCATATCAAACCCCAAAACCACAGTGGAAATCCCTTCATGTTGGTCTGCCCGATAAGCGATCCAATGAACAGATCCATTCAGAAATGCCGATGAAACACGCTGATAAGTGTTATATCTCAATGGTCCTGTCCGTGGAATACCCCTCCATGAACCTTCATTAAGTGAGTAAAGCGCCATTTCTGGGAAATTTTCGCTGAGAAACTTTGACTTCCGAAAACTGACCATATTTATCAACTTGTAGTCATTAGCGCGGGAATCATAGCCGAATCCAACAAAGGAGTGTACAGGAAACGGGATTCTAGGTTTGACTATCACGTATTTTTGTATCAATGGATTCCAGAGAATGAAGGATACCATAATACTTTGGAAAATATTTGCAAGGCAAATTAAGCCATTGCAAGAACCGATGACATGAAAATATGATTCGGAGCTCTTGAATGGCAAATGAAGTCGCATGTGCTCATTGAAATCCTGGTTAGCAAGACGGAGAGAGTACTGCTCTTCTCTCCCCCTTGAACAGAGTCGAAGTAGGAAAAGATTTTGACAATCAGTTGATGAAATTGTATGTTGAAGATGCTTAAAAATGAAGGTTGGGCTTTTTATGAGGGAGTTCCACGACTTGCACAAACTTGTGCATCGCAACAGGGATTTTATGGGGAGTTTGCAGAGGATCTCTTGAATCAAATCTTCAGACAAATAATCAGACATTTTTTGATCTGCTTAGCTTTGCTTTGCTTTTTATGTTCTTGGCAGCAGAGAGAAACAGGAAAGTAAGCAGGTCAAATGGGAAGGAGGGGTAACGCTCATCAACGGTTGTTTAGTTTGCATCAAGTGTAACTACTCAAGAGCCCTGTTAATTGCAAATACGCATAATAATAGCTTACAGTCTTGAAGAGAAAACTCCCCATACCTTTCAAAATTGTGAATTTTTTAGCAACGGCAAGCACAACCAATACCTAACCAGCCAAAAGGTAGAATTCTTAATGGCAAGATTAAGACTATGGGGTCTTAATGGAAGCTTAAATGCTAGTAATAAAGAGCAATCAACAAAGGAATACAAAACTTTTCTTCCTCTTATCATCACATGGACGAAAGAACATTATTTAGCTTGAAAGCTTAGATGATGACAGTATCTTGTAGACCCAAATGAATAAAATCAATGAATAACAAGAGTATCAACAAAACCCGAAAAAGGAAAGCAAGGAAAGATTGAACTTGGAAAAATTGCAACTACTTTCTACGCTACACAATCAAGTTTCAAACTTCACATGATGTTATAAGAATAAAACACGGTGGGTTATAAATTATTACAAAGAGTACCTTGGAGGAAGTCGAAAGCCAAGCATGGTGGTTTGTGTCAGTCGCTGGAACTTAGGATCAGCTTGTTCATTAAGAATAAAAACCAGCCGGCAACTTTGAAAATCATGACAGTCATTGCTCAACTCTGACGTGGCATGCAGTAAGCAAAACGAAGGGTAAAGAAACTCTAGTCTGCCTTGTCATAATGGTCAAATTGTGTTTATCTGCCAGAAGTAGGCAACCTTGACAATGAGGCCTGTTTACGTTAGCAAGTGGCTGGAGAAAGGGAATTTCTCGTGAAAGAACCCTAAGCTCCAACTTTCGATTTAAAAATAATAATAATAATAATAACACCATACTTTTATCTTTTTTAATATTATTTCTCTGAAATTACAGTTTATGCGCTATATACCGGTCAACACAAAATTCATGTTTTAGCACAAAAGCTAAAATATCCCTGAATATGATTGAAGTGGCGTAGCAGATTGCATTGATTTCATTGGTTTTGAAATATTTTTATTTTTCACCAAGTTCTCTATCAATTAATTAAATAAATACTAAAATATAAAGAGTAATTTTTAAAAACCCAGTGACAGTATTAACACTTTCAAAAGTAATTATCTCTTTAAAAAAATATTATTTTAAAGATTTTGAAGTTTTTATTTATTTAAAAAAAGATAAGGTGTTAATTAACACTCAAACTGGTACGAACACCTTTTACTGAAATTTCACAAAAAGACATTATTTTTATTTTAGTTCCATGGTAGAAAGATATCCTCTAATATCAATCAAAACTAAATCTCCCTTCCGAGACATTATTAAGAGTACCTCGTATGCCTCTAAAATTCTCTTTGATGTTTTTGGCAAAGCCTCCTCCGAGCAATTTGCGGTTTTTAGAGGCGGAAACTGAAGTGGGCAGCCTCCAAAGTCCACGACGTGGGAGAACTAAACAAAATACTAATAATAAGCACAATAAACAAAAACGGCACTGACGACTTTACCCTTTACTTTCCAAGTTCATTCACCAAGTAATGTTGACTAGATTATCAAATTCTACATAAGCAACTTATACATTAGGATGTTTCATTGAGTAAGTCTCTGCATCTCATTTTGATCACCCAGTGTCTCCATCAGCAGAGGAGGGGCATATTGTGCTGTCCCCTGGTGCTCCTCCGAATCCTGACAGAATGAAAGAATGATAGCATCAATTGACATCTCCACCACGGCAAAGAAAAGGGTCGCAACAACATAACCGAGAGCCCAGCAGACCTGCACATGTACAGATAGGCACAAGATAAAGACATTTTGAATCACTGGTTTCTATAGCATAGAAAAAAGTACCGAGGAAAGATATCGTGCAACTATTTTAACATCTAGATGTCTGGCTTGGAATTAAAGCACATACCAGCACAGGAAGCAGTGGGGAGGAAATCTTGTTATGAGCTGATCTATATTTGTGGGTATCCAACATCAGGAAAGCAAAAAGTGCACTTGAGAGGCTGACGCATAACTTTCCAAGATATAGAATGACATCTCCAATCACATTCACCCTCCCTATTCTAAGGATGTTGCTGATGATCAATTCAGTTGCAATTGCAGAAGCTCTGCAGAAGCTTTTACCTGTTATAGCTATCTGCAGAAGTCATGAAAACAATGGATAAACAGTGAAATTCAAAAGGTAAAAGAAGAAAAGAAGAAAATAGCATACGGATCAATGAAAGAACCATGCTTGAACAGACAACGAGTCCTGAAATAAATTCTGGGAGTAAGGAAATGTATTATGACATGGTGACAATTGTGTGACTGCCAATAAGTGAAAACAACTGCTTCCATTCCGGAGTTTTTTAAATAAATAAAGCAGGCAAAGTCTTTGGAACAACAATGGGTATCCTTATTCATCCTTCAATAAGGACATGATTGGGGACTGTACTGCAAATGGCAAGTCCCATTGCCATATTAGATTACTGTGACTTAACAGGGCATATCTTGCAAAATGTACCCAAGCAGCTATGCAAGACATGATATGAGAAATTGATAGTTTTGAACCTTACCATTATATAAGCATTGCGGTTCACAGATCTTATAATCCACTCAATACACTGAAAACAAAACCGAGAAGTGTGATATGCTGTCCTTCCCATACAGCTTTCAGGAGTAGTATTAGCAACTTTCAGTTTGCGACGAATTGACTCAAGTATGAAGCGAACAGATTCCACAAACGATAACACCAGGGAGCCAAGAGCCACAGAACCAAGGCTGTAACGTATAAGCTGCTTCATAGAGGAAAAAACAGGTAGGAATGGAATCTCTGGCTGCATTGTGAAAAATAAAAAGCTTAGAAAAATTCTGCTCAGGTAACATAATTGGCAAAATATTGATTATAAGTACATCTAGATTAGTTAACTAATGAACAGAATCTGTCATATGCATGCAAACAAGTCCAGATTTTTTGGCCCCTAGGCAGTCAACACACTACCTAAACTTTCAGAGCTGCCACAAGTGCTTCACTTTTGATGGAAAAAGCAAACAGACAAATTAGTCATCAGGCCACCCAATGGGCAGGAACTTCACTATGAATGTAACAGAGTAGTGTAGCAGCAGGAATTCAATCTGAATAAAGAAAGCTACCGTGTAGTACCTAATGAGTATTTCAATACTCAATCAGTACAACTTGCACATACAAAGTATCCGAGCTCCACAAGTGCTGAGTATTTCAATAGTCAATCAGTACAACTTGCATCCCACTTCTCTCCATATCCAAACTGGAATATAATGTAGGTAATGTACCCATAGGTAACTGACAAATGCAGCTTTCGTTGATCAGCAAATGCTTTATTATTATGCAAACATAAAGAAACTATTCCTATGGATACTAAAAGCAATCAAGTCCAGAGTGGTCGCAGTAAGGTCGTGTCAGAATGAGACCATCCCATCAAAAGCATATAACACAAGCATTTCATGGATATGATGAATTCACATAATCGATTCTTGCATAATTTTCAATACTAGACGTATGATTTAGTGTCTTACCGATGTCTCACCACGAGCCCAATAATAGGAGGCAACAGAACCCGCAATCACAGTTGAAGAGCAAGCTATAAAGAATTGGGTGGCCCAGTAACAACCAAATAGGTGGAAAAAAATTGCAATTGATATGTGAGGAGTATAATGGATGCTATAACCACAGCAATGATCACAGTTGACCCTTTTTGATACAAGATCATATGCACAGCAATTGGAGTTGCAATTGTTCTGGACAGTCTGGCCAGAACTAAACAAATAGAATGCAGCCGCAAACCAGAACATATAAAAGATTCCAAGGATAGCATATGGCATCACTGGAAAGATTATGAGTGCTTGAACTTCTCCTATGACCTTTGCAGCAACCTGCATACAGATTAAAAGAGTACTTTATTCATTCAGTATTGCATCAACCTATTCTATGGTTGATCAATAATAAATAACAAATTGTGCCTGAAGATATAGCTCATCACAATTAGACTATTGAGAAAGTGGTATTATCACTTTTCAATAAAGAAAAAAGAAATTTTTTCATATGCTCAGGCACATCATCTGCAAAAGAAGCAATCCTGGGAAATTTTCTAATTCTAGAGTATCGATTTCTAGGTACTAGATAGTCCTGTGATATAGAATTATTGATCATCCAAGTGTCATACATCTATTGAGCAAATCTTGGTAGTCTAGTAGTTGATAGTAGTAGAATATCTTGATTTGGCACACCGATTCAGTGGAATCCAAGGTGCAGATGAGCTGAAAGGTAATCCAGTCCAGAAAGGTGGTTTAACAATCAGGCATTCCTAACACTTGCAAGGGCAATGCATAATTGCATTGATAAGTTCCCAGCGAAAGAATAAGAATTAAGCTGTGATCTGGTTGGCTGTATCACTATAATCTAGTTCAGGAAGGGACCACTATCAAAATGCAAATACATCTTCAAAACTTCCCTCAATTAGATTTACCAGATTATAATTTATTGAGGTTGGAGCACTAAAATCCGCATTATCATTGAATGGGACTACGATTGTGAGTCTTCCATAACTCATAAGTTTCTAGAAATCATTTATTCATTATTATATTTTAGATTGAGTTAGATATATACTAGCCTTGAGGACAGATGTAGCCATAAGGATGCGGTGGACTATGGCAATTGATGTAAGGATGGAAACAACCATTATAAAAGTCATCAGAACAGCAGCAGCGCGGAGATGATTTAGCTCCTGAAAGATGCAAATTACTTTTGAGTAAATAACATGACACATGCACATGCAAAAACCACAGCAAATCATGATATTAGAGAGAGAGAGAGAGAGAGAGATAATCATATACTCATTAATGAGGAAACCCACCCGTCCAAACACGTGGTAGTACGGATCATGTGCACCAATGATAGGGGAGATCGCATCATTCCCAATCCATCCAGCTAAATTAGACAAAAGTAGAATAAACTCAGGTTAACATCTCCATGATAATTATTGCCACATTCAGGTGTACAAGGAAACTTCTGTCACAATACTTGGGACCATAGAGACTAAAATAAGTTAGCTACAGAAAACTAAACTCGTAGAACTCGAGAGTCAATCAATGCTGAACAAAGTTTAGTTGTTGAACTCTCGAGTTACTGAGTTTTTACACGATTCAGTGGAATCCAAGGTGCAGATGAGCTGAAAGGTAATCCAGTCCAGAAAGGTGGTTTAACAATCAGGCATTCCTAACACTTGCAAGGGCAATGCATAATTGCATTGATAAGTTCCCAGCGAAAGAATAAGAATTAAGCTGTGATCTGGTTGGCTGTATCACTATAATCTAGTTCAGGAATGGACCACAATCAAAATGCAAATACATCTTCAAAACTTCCCTCAATTAGATTTACCAGATTATAAGTTATTGAGGTTGGAGCACTAAAATCTGCATTACCATTGAATGGGCCTATGATTGTGAGTCTTCCATAACTCATAAGTTTCTAGAAATCATTTATTCATTATTATATTTTAGTTTGAGTTAGATATATACTAGCCTTGAGGACAGATGTAGCCATAAGGATGCGGTGGACTATGGCAATTGATGTAAGGATGGAAACAACCATTATAAAAGTCATCAGAACAGCAGCAGCGCGGAGATGATTTAGCTCCTGAAAGATGCAAATTACTTTTAAGTAAATAACAAGACACATGCACATGTAAAAACCAAAGCAAATCATGATATTAGAGAGGGGG